AACAACTTCATTATGGATTGTCAAAAGTAGGCTATGAGCTGCAAGCTATACCAGCCATAATGACTCAGATCTCCTCTGACTATTATGAATTATAAGCACAATCTATCACTTTTACCACAGGATTAAAGCTACAAGGTATAAAATGAAATCTAACAGAGATATTATCTACTAAAGTTACATTGCAGTCAATGGTAAAAGTCACCATAAGCCTTGTATGACATCACGTTTAGCCACACCCCCTGACAGGATGTAAAATGGCAGGAAGCAAAATGAGCAACTTTGAAGGCTCATATCTCTGTGAATAATTTTTTCCAGACAATAAAACTTTCCATATAGCAATTTTATGATCATACAATCATGTTAGGTCAATAAAAAAATACCCCAAAAAATTATGTCAGTTACACTTTAAATTTGTGGATCTGCATAGTGTAGCTAATTTCCATAACATTTTATCACCAAAGTTGCAGTTTTAGCCTTAAATTAATTATAGTTTTGACAGTTCATTTACACAATTAAGACATAAAACCTACCAAGTGGCTTAATAAAAAGCGAGACAGTTATATCCTCAATGACACCATCAAAATCACTTGTTTCCTGGTAAACATACTCCTTACCGCCCCCAGTCAGGAATATCGAGCCACCTTCATCAGCAGCAGGACTAATGTCACAAACTGGTTCTGCCTCTGTTAGATAATCTAAACATAAACAAAATTATGCAGAATCTAAACCAATATTATTGTGCAAATAGAAAACATACTGAATAGCCCAAAACTTTCAAGGGTTTAAAGCTTTTAGACCCTCTCAAAATAATTTTTTTCAGATTTTAATTTTGTAAATCTCATGAAATGCTAAGTTTCTCAAAAGTTTCCAACTATGCAGTAGTAATAATAATAAAATTACTTTTTGTTTGGCCTCCCTGCATTAAGTACGGGCTTGTTACTGGTTTTTCACATCTTTCAAACTAGAAAAGAAAACACACAGAGTGCAGTTTAGAGCAAAATAAAGCATGACCACAACCATGCATTACTCAAGTAAAAGGGCAAGTTTTACACAAATTCATTTTAAAGTAGAACAAAAATATTCTGATCAGATAAGGGTCACCTTTATACTAAAACAAAGAAAATGCATACTATAAACAAAATAATAAATTCTAATGAAATGCAGTTGCTGGGTTAGTGTAAACACCTAAAAATAGTAAAAAATGCTAATTAGGCCAGCATAGTAGTATATAAACAAGGCCTAAAGTTGAGTTTTCACTATGATGTACCGTATGCGTCTTAATTTTCGAGGTGTATTAAATTTCATTATTTTCGTGCTCACCTTAAATCCACAAAATTTAAACCACCTCTAATGCCATTCTATTGTATGTAGACTATGGCCAGAACACAAAAATTAGCTCACACGAATATTAACTTTTGAGCAAATTTCATTGAAAACACGAAATTTTGA